GACACAACCGAATAACGAATTTGACGTATCGTACGACTTGGACGCTCGCCGGAGAGACACGCGGTTGATGTTTCGCGCGCGCGACGAGATCAGCTGCGCTCCGAAACGGGACGAAACGGGGAGAGCGCAGTTTTGACTTTTGGATTACCTCCAGACGTGACAGCGACCGATCGTTAACTTCGGTGACATTCTCTGCGAAGATAGGTGCTTCGGATGCTTTGGCACCCGACACGTAACACACTCGACAAAGTCCATACCGAAGAATATTTTCGCGAACGCTGACGCGAATCGAGACCTTTTCAAACTGTCGCCGCGCGCGTTACATAATGATTATCTTCAACGATCGCGTTTAACCAGGAATAATCTTCTATTCGCACATACACGCGTGACGGTAAATTGATCTTTGAAATAAAACACGGATATCAATGGGCATTAATCTCTTCGCGGATAAAAAAAATAAAACGCTTCAGTTTTATATGGTGATTGTAAAATACGGTCGATAAATCGTGATAAACGAAACGGAGAAACAACGGGAGGACGATGACGAGTGAGAGCGGAGAGTTGAACGACGAACTGTGCATCGAAAGTGCCTCGTATGTTGGTGTGAGTGATGTTAAGCGACATCGGAGCAACGGATCGAGATATCGGTACCTGAAGTGAGATACCTGCGCAATAGCATGTAATCCTGATGGAAGTCCCGTCGGACGCATCCGCTACATCGAAGAGGATGGAAACGAGAGACGACGAGAGGAGAAGGAGAAGATCTGCTCTGGCGAGGAGGATCGATTCGCCGCGAGAAAGCAATTTGGTACGACGGGCGCGATCGAAATTCGTTACGTGTCGGATGAAGTGATAATTTCTCAGTCCAAGATTTTCTCTAAAAAAAAAAAAAAGACTCGAACTGCTTGGGAATACCAAAGTTATCGAACGTGGTGCTCTTCTAGTGGAAAAAACGCTGTCACTTGAACTTGAAGACAGACTTGCGGCTATGCACTTTTTAACACGATGCTCTGAGATAAAATTTGTTTGCACAAAAGTTTTGCTGATTATACACGACTGAAATGAAACTGCAGCTACACTTCTCCGCAAGTGTCACGATCTGAAATTTCAACACTACTGACAGGCCAAGTCACGGTGTTTCTTAATGGACATTCTTCTCATCGACGTCAATCGTAATCGATTCCGGGCTATTCTTGTTGCTGATTTCTACGATCGATTCCACTTTCTTGGGATCATCACTTTCTTTGGATCAACGAGTGAAAAATCGGAGCACATTAATGGACTGTTCTTTAATCGATATTGTGCGTCGATCAGTGAGAGAGAGAGAGAGAGAGAGAGAGAGAGAGAGAGAGAGAGAGAGAGAGAGAGAGAGCAGTGAAACTTGAACATCGCTAATCCTTTGATTTTCAACTGGTGTCACCCGGGACTGTATATCGTCGTCAAAAATAGTGCGTTTAAATTTGGACACTCGTCACTCGTGGACGGAAGTTTGTAAAAACATTTCAGCGATTAAAAAATATCAATCACTTCAATGTAAAACAAATCGACGCGCTAAACGATGTTTCTTAATAATTAATAAACATGACATAAAATATTAATCGAGCAGTCGTAATTATACGAACGTTTAAAAGGCGATTTGTGAAATCCGATAAAAAAACAAATACTAAATAATAAATAAATATCGAATAAAATTCTAACTCGAGAGATGGATACATCACGTTTATCTGATCACTCAGAAGATACTTAGCGGGATAATTACCAATAATTTTTGTATCATAAAATAATTATCTCTCGTATCACGGCACTTAGCGCCGGACGCAATCTGCGAGTGATTGATAATAGAAATGACACATTTCTTGAATAATTTTCCGATATTAATTTTCCTCGTATTGTGCTCTACTGAGATAATTATATAAGATAATTATATAAGATATAAGGTATCCTTGTATCTTTTTCATAAAAACATCAATTTCGTACGCTTAACACAACCTGCGTGACTAATCGTAACAGAGATGACACTTGGAACAACGAAATTATTATTCGTCGCAATGCGCCCCACTGAGATAACGATCGGCGAACCTTGACACATTCCGTCGAAAAAGATAATTACCAGGTGGTGACCACTTCGTAAAAATGTCTGTCAATCGCTATGTGTGGCGATAACTTTCAGCGTAACTTTCAAGTTGACCAAAACAAAGACGATATTTGATATGACAGAACTTACGTTGCCACATATGTATCTCTCCACCGCGATATAATTACCTATACTTTGATCTTGGCTCACGAGAGATAATTGCGGAGGAGCGATGACGCATTGGGATAATTGCTGCAGATTTTCGCGGGATTAAAGCGCGGTCTCTTCTAGCGCGGTAGTATCTCGTATAGATTTTACGCGGTGTCACTTTTCCCGAAAACGCACGCGCACGCACGATCGGTGCGTTAATCTCGCGAGACGCGCGCGTTAGGAAACGGGGAGTATCCGTGTAAACTGAATTGCGCCGATGTCGGCGTGAAATTAAAACGTACGGGAAACCGGTTTCTCTCGAACGACTCGCGTACGTATATATATATATACGTATGCACCGTGCGATGCGTTTATCCGCGTTGCAGCGTGGCTCCGTTGCAAAGGCGTGGGTAATGCCTGGGAATTTAATCGGAATAAGTTCGAGTCTCTCTCTCTCTCTCTCTCTCTCTCTCTCTCTCTCTCTCTCTCTCTCGGCGGAAAAAAAGAAAAAAAAAAGGGGGAGGAGGAAGAGAGAAAAGCGACATCGAAGCTGTCCATTCTTGCGTATGTGAGCACACGCGATGTGCGCAAAAACCTTGGAAATTCCTCTCGAAAGCACGAGGGTTCGTCGTTGGTCATTGAATGAACAACGCGATGACACGTGCGGACCATGTACGCGTGCACGCTATCGCACACTTTCGTTTTGTTTACGTTTCGTTCCGTCAAACAAATTTAAAGCGAAATTTAAGCTCGTTAGAGCTCGCGTGACGATACACTCCGAAACTCTATTAGGCCCGTACGTCTCCCGGGTGCTCGCGCGCGGGATCGTTTGTACTGCCGTTTAGGTATTTTGTCGCCATAAGCGAGACGCCGGATGAAGACACGCGATTATCCGGAACGGATGTCGAAATACACGCTTCAATAGTGATCCGTTATGTCTTTAACAGGTCGAAGCGCCGATATTGACACAGAGCTAACTCTCGGTTACGACAGGACGTAAATTAACGTCATGGTGCTAACGGAGAATGTTTTCTAGCTACTTTCGTGATTACCGATTCAAAGTAATAGTCGGCAGTGAACGCGGCGTTGCGGTGACAAAATGTGATCCTTCAAATTTTCGTTTCCATACAAATTTAACGTGTGCTGCCTCAATATATACATATATGTATGCAAAAAGAACAACTTTGCTAAGATATCTAAAAAATTCGCTAAATTCGTTAATTTAGAAATAATATTTGGTTGGATCATCAAAATAATTACATAGGAATTTAAAACATGAGCGAGAAGTTTTGATGTTCTAATAACCAGTTTGGGTGTCGTATGTAATTATTTTGATGATATCCAATAAAAAATTATTTGCAGATCCGTATCTAGCTAAATTTTTAGATACCTCAAGAAATTCTACGTTTCCGTTATTATTCGTAATAAATAATTTTTTAATAAATAATTAGATAAATATGCAATAAGGAGAATTAAAGAAATAAACTCCTCACTGTTTTACGTTCTTTGCGTGAAAAATAGAAGATGGATTTATTTGAAAACAATCGCGCACGCTCGTAATAGTTGGTGATAATATCAATGATACGTATACATATCAAATGCCGTCAGCATGTCATTCAGACTGCAAAATTCTCGCAGTCTGTTATTAGGGACGTCACGATCAACTCAAGTCGTTTGATTCCGATGATCTACGATGATGGTTTGCAGGATAGTTAAGAAGTACGAGTATCTGCTTAGAATTTGCATTTCCTCGAGTCGATAGCATTTTCGCGGTCAAACGCTGCTTTATGACTCATTATAGAGGCACCTTCACCGGGTTGCTAATTCCTAATTACTATCTACAACGCGAAAGCATCGTTCCGAAGAGGTGATCCATTGGAAATTAAGAAACTTGAGAACTTCGGATTTGCATTCTCTTTCACATCTGGCGAACTTCTTGCGGTCTCGAGCACTACTTTACGGCTCGTTACCAGAATAACTTCCCCGAGTCGCGAAGTCGACTTCCTCAATCACGATCCGCAGTGCGCAAGTGTCACGTTGGGAGAACAATCTACGTGAGATTGAAACTTCAACTCTGCTCCGAATTTGCATCTTGGTACTACGTGAGTTATCCGCAACCGAGCTCTACTTTGTGACTCAAATCATCAAGACTTCCTGAATCCGTATTGCGATAATATCCTCTGGTCTATCCGCTATTAGCAATTCCGTCATGAGTCCTAGAATTTCTACACCATGATCTGGGAGATTTACCTCTCGGTATGTAAATTATTCACGGTATCAAGTGCTCCATGTTTCCCTGACCAAACTATCTTGTTCGAGTGCACGGGACACTGTCTCGATCACGCCGCATAGCGCAATAGTGTCGAGATAAATCTTCGCTTAGCGGCGTATTTGCTGTCGGAATGCATACAAGACTTTCTTAATCATGATCGATGACGTACAAGTGTCGTTTCCGCGGTACGATCTG